GCGTGTACTGAGTTCTACCCGAATCCCCAATATAGAGAGAGCAACGTGTTGAAACTGTTGCAACAGCCAAATTTATCACCTTGATAGACTTAACTAAAGGTTATTGTCAAATTCCGCTGACCCCTAGGGCTCAGAAAATCGCTGCATTTGCTACAAATTTTGGCGTATATAGGCCATTGCGAATGCCATTTGGGCTTAAAAATGCTCCTTATTATTTTAGTAAAATGATGAGCGAAATATTGTGCGGATGTGAGAAATATGCTACCTCTTATTTAAATAATATTGATATTTTTTTCTGAAACGTGGGAGGAACATATACAACATTTACATGAAATTTTAGAAAGAATAAGAAAAGCCAATTTAACTGTTAAACCCTCTAAGTGCAAGTTTGCGCAAGAAGAAGTGCAAATTCCCGGCCACATAGTAGGTCGAGGAAAACGTCCTCCAGCAGAACTAAAAATAGAGGCGTTTCAAAACTTTCCAGTTCCCACGACTAAAACTGAGATTAAAGCTTTCCTAGGCTTAGCTGGATACTACAGACAATACATACCTATGTTTTTTGCTACAGCCGCACCATTGACAGATTTGTTAAAATAAATAAAAGGGGGTAAAATTGTATGGAATGATGAATGTAATGAATCATTCAAATCGATAAAAGAAAAGCTATCTAGTAGGCCTGTGCTACATGCACCCGATTTTTCTAAACCATTTATATGCTACAGACAGACGCATCAGATCAAGGATATGGTTTGTTCAGATTAGCCCAGAAGGATGATAAAGGAAAGAACATCCCATATTGTAAAAATCTCAGTAAAAAATTTACAGATAGTGAGCGGAAGTATTCCACCACTGAGACAGAGTGTGCCGCAATTCTGTATGGAATAAAAAAACTGAAAGGGTAATATAGATGGGCAGACTAAATTTTCAATTCAAACGTTGGACCATAATCCCCTAGTATGGCTAAAAAATAATTCAGGTAGAAATAGTCCGATTATTACGCCTGGGCCTTAGCCTTGCAATCTTATAATTTTACGATACATCATAAAAAAGGGAAGTAACAACTTAAGTGTAGAACTGCTTAAGTAGAACTCTGTACATGCCAGTTAAATAGACTAGTTATCTCATTTCTTTTAAATTGTTTTGTTATTTGATTATGTATATTAGTATTTTTTTAAATTCATACTATATAGTAAATTGTTAACTTGATTCATAAAGATAAAATTTCTGTGTTGGTTTTTCATATATTGTATATGTATTGTTATATGTATTTTTTATGATGGCCTGGTTATGAGAGTGGAGAACCTTTGTAACAGTGTGGTTTAGAATTAACTGGTAAAATGTTGAACAATCTCTATTGAAACCAGAAACTGTGAACTGTGAAGGTTTTACTTCTCCTGTGTCCGGAGAAACAAAAACTGGAGGCGGAAGGTGTTTGTTTGTAGTGAACGCCTGCCTGAACTTGTATTTTATCCCGTAGGAACCTAAAAAAAAACGTTTTCTTTCCTCTGTGTACGAGGAAAACAAAATCTGGAGGCGGAAGGAGTTAGTCTGTAAAGAACGCTCCTGAACTCCACTAGAAAGATCTATGATGCTCTTGACTAGAGAGAACGTCGTTAGCAAACTCATCACACTACGAGTACTATAATTCATTTTAACACCTTATTTAAAGAACTGTGAATGGCAACGACTTAACTGAGAATTACGCATGCGTATAGAGATGAGAGTTCTGTTGAGACGCCAGTGAGAGAGAGTTTGGGAAGCTCCGCCAGCGAGCTGAGGGGTGGAGACTAAATTTGTCCAGTGATGACGAGTGCTATCTTCGTTAACGTCTCTGATCGTGTCACCAACTCGGATATGTACTCAAGTTTTTCTAAATGTATTAATTAAATGTTGTATCTGTGTTACGTTGTATAAATAAAAGTGATGGATCACCACTACCAGTGTTGATACTGAAGCATCCACGACGTCACAATTGAAATAAGAACTAGAACATAGAAAGAAGGTGCATGGTGGGGAGTGCTGAGACTAAGGGGAACACTTATTATAGTACATGTTAGGCATCAGAAATACTGTTATGGTACATGTTAGGCATAGAGTTATATTAAGGATATGCTATATAATCAGGTACAGATGTAAAGATGAACAAATGCAATACAAATTGTGGGATACATTAAGAGAGTTCTGGATAAATCATAAAATTAAATATAATTAAAATCAAAACAAGGGAAAAAACAAGACATTAACTAAATTAATATATGTACAGAGCGGGCCGCTGACGGCACGGTGTCCAAGGAAAGAAGTCAGTTTAGGCTGTCAGCAATGCTTTTAGCAATGGTAGTGCAGTCTCTAATGTGGCTGACCGCATATTTATTCTTAATTATGTTCTTGAACCATGCCGGCATATTGATTGCAGCTGGTCTTTTTATCTGTGAATTCGCTATGTGCGGCCAATCAAATAGATAGTGATCTGGATCACCAGTACTGCCACAAGTCTCTTAGGCGGAACCTGTGAAGATAGGACATATATGGGCCGTGCTCTGTCAGATACTATGTGAGGTGCGAAGAGCTGCTATTTAACTTCTGGTTAACGTTTGGTTGGAAATTATAATTATACAGTCTTCTTCCTGTGGTGCTTGTCTCCCAGTAGTTTTGCCACTGCTTCATTAATTCACCTTTTAGAGTGGTTTTTCAGATATGAGTGCAGAAAGAGCACGCTAATGATAATCAAGGGGAGTTCATTGGCTGTGCCTTTCGCAATCATATCTGCTGCTTCATTTTCTTCCAGACATAAACTAAACCGAACATGTTTAAGCCATTCTAGAGAGAGAATTGTTGATCGCCCACGGAAACTGTTCAACAGCTGGAAACCGTTGTTATATAGAAGTGGAAGAGTATATTTCAATACTTCTTCGAAACCCTCATTAACTTTATGCATCATAAGTGGGCAACAATGCTTTCAGTCAGAAGAAAACGTAGCCTTTTTTAAAACCGATTTTTATCTGAATAATCACATATTTATTCGTTTTTATGTCATGTACAAAATGTGGCATCAATTATAGATGCAAGTGTCTTGGCTTTCATTACAATATTACGCACGGAGATGGGCAGTAACTATTTATATTCTTCCCTACCTAAAAGGAAAAGAAGTACGAGGACCAGTCGACCAGTTCAAGATAGAGGCAAATTACAGTATATCAGACTATCCTAGTGGCATCTGAGCTATATATTAGCTCAGATACCACTAGGGATTATTACATGTCTTTAGAGCCAAGAAACTGTCCTGGCTCTGAGCTGCCAATCGGATTCCAAAAACAGATTTCACAGATGGTAGTTGGAAGCGCTAACGACTCAGGTAGAAAAAGTATATACAAAAAGTACGATAATTCCTTATAGTATATGTGCATGTACATACGCTTACAGTATGTGCGCATATATAAGAAACAACTTTAGTGAGTACATATATAATTGGTATAATACTCCCATTAAAGTCTCAGTCTTATATATTTGTTCATGTTTGTGTATTTAGGACTATGTGTTTTCACATTTGATAGCATTTGAAGTATTTGCGTTTAACAGTGCTGGAATTAATCCAAAAAATCTATATGTAGTGGGATTTATTTAGATAATAATGACTGCTTCGCAATTGTTCTTCCACATGTTCTGACTTAACATCCGCGAATTCACTTATCCGGGGTTTAATGCTGCAGAGAAAAAAAAATATCCGACAAATTTCGAAGCGTAAGAAGAATGACAGTAATTCGTAACATAGCTAAAATTCAGCACCTCAGACATGTTTAATACACTTTCCCGACATATCTGCGTACTAACTTCTGACCGAAAATTAAATACAGGGAATGAAAATTGAAGTTATGTATATTTGAACATTATTAGAAACTCACCAAACTATAAGCTCTTACCTGATGTATGTACATAGATTCATACATAGATACAGCAGCTGAATGTACATAGATACATGTCTGGGAATTCCGGCTATTGGCGGACAGTGTGTATTTCTGTTGTTTTCATACTCATAATAAATTTGCTTCAATTCTCGCTCCTTCCATTCACCTTATTCTCCTTAGCATCCTGTTATCTCAAATCTGCAGCTCTTTAAATTCTCCAAAACTAATGACACTACTAATAATTGTAAACACTACTAATAATTGTAAACTTCTCCTGTGCTTTTAATGACAGGAAAACGGATCGTTTTTATTTTTAATCTGCTTAAAAACAACGTGCTGTGCTATAAAGTACTAGAAAAATATTTCTTCAATTCTGAGTATTTTATACGCATTCTATACGTATTTTGATGATAAATTTAAAATGTCAGAATCTCTTACTTTCTTTGGTATAAATGTAGAGGTACGCACAATAAATTTCAATTTAAAACACATTGCATTTCATGTGAATTTATTGGGTGCTAATGCAGAGAACAGCACAGAATACATAATATTAATTTATTTATTACTGATTGTATTTCAGTGCCATAATTTTACTATTCAACTTAATCATAACTATAAATGGTATACGATTCTACTGCTTATATTTATATTATTGTTGCCTGTCTAATATACTTGCGATACATTTTGGAGCATGTTACTTATGGATACGAAACACTAATGTAATCCGGGGAAAATGCTTATTCTCCCTACTTGTGATTGCTATCGAATGTTAATGAACTTCCCTTGTCGCATTCAGTGTCGCATCATTCGCTGCACCGCTACAATGTGTTAAAGTTTAGGGTTTGGTCGCTTTCGGTGTCACTGATCTCTTTTATATTGGTTCCACTTTTTTATCTTGAAAACAAGCAAAAATAGTAACCAGGAACCGACCGTTTCTCTGAAGGTTCATTTGAATCCAAGAACCACCAGGTGTCGCCAGTTTCTTTATACTTCAATCCGTTTTATTTGCACCAACGTGAGCAGCTGCTGCATTTAGAAAGCATCAGGGGAATCTATTTATAAGTCAAAAGGTACCCTCCAAAGCCCGGGAAAGTTTTCTCCCCTGAAATTCTACGGCTCGTGGAATTAAATGCACCCGAAAAGTGGCAGTTGGGGATTGGACATCGAGTAGAAGACGGCTATTGGAAATCTTCAGCTGCGCAGCTTAAAAAAATTGACGTGTTATGGTCACCTCTGAGCCCTAGAATCAATAAAAATGTCTCATTTTCGAAAGCCTTGGGGTATGAAAAATTATAAATATTGTTTTATCCCCAAGTAATTTAAAATTTACTTAGTATCCAGAAATTCCCTTTTTATCAATCACTCAAAATATTATAATATTAGTTATGTATTAAAATTATTTCTTGCTGTAAACTGATGCAAGTATCCTATATTTAAAATAGATTTATAATACTGTTAATAATATATGCACATCATATATAATAATATGCATAATATTTAATAAATAATATGCAGACATATATGCTCATTAAGTGCATTTCTTATCAAATAAAAAGAATTATTTCTTTTTCATATCGAAAAATAAAGAAATAAATATTATACTTACCCGCGTTTTACAGATACTACGCTAAAGCCACAAAACATTTTCACTTTATATCATGCAATTCACAGTTAAAATAATTGTAAAGAAACAGACTTAAATGATTGCTTATTTGGATATAGCAAGCTCAGGGGGTTATATCAATAGGGAATCCCTACATGAAAGACTTTCTAAAGAAAAGTGGATCGTATTTACATTTATGCATGGGTGAAATCGTGAAAACACCGATGCAACCTGTCTAATCACCTGCATTTAAGTCTGGGTTGAACTATCTGTATTCAGTATTTTTAAGCATTTATGATTTCAGACTCTGAATGAAAATCTACAGACCTGACCTTCAAGAGCGATCTTACATAGGGTTGCTCCTGAAAAAGTGGACCTCATGAAAATGCAATTTTTGTGCTTTAATCCACGTATACTCTGTTGGTCCTTTTGCTGAGGCTATTAAGTTTCAGAAAAAAAGGGAACACGAAGAGTCAATTATACCTACGCTACGAATAGAACAACGAATCTTCAGTTACATGCTCAATGTCTTTTTTTGTACACTCCAGGTGCATATAGGATAGGAAGGCTATAATTCGCTATATTATGCTCTCATTTAAATTGCTACGAGGAAGAGATACTAGACCCAGGCAGCCAAGTCTAGGTATTAATGGCCACTTGGCCAAATCTAGGTTTTATCATTCACCCCATTAAGTTCGTGAGAATACAGTTAGCTAGAGTTTGTAATGTCTATTAGAACATTTTAAAAGTGAGAAACACAAAAAATCAAAATATACATTCACTGGAATCTGAATCTCGTTATGAATCAATTGCTAGGTGCATGTGCTAACCATAGAGGCAGCGCATAAGACGAATGCCAAAATTCGTTACATATTGGTACTTATTTTTACGTCAAAATCTAGAAATTTACGTAAGGATTATCGTATAGAAGTGTATAGGTTATTATTGGACTTTTCTCTAAGTTTTAAGCATCTTGAACAGATTACTGAAGTAACAAATGACATTGCAATTTCGCGTTTTGCCATGTATCTGATATACGTCATATATGCCATTTGGATACGATTTCAAAATATTCTACAAGAAAATATTTTTTAAATCAATTACTTTAAAAGTCAAGTGTGTGTTTTATTAAAAAACAGTTAAAAATTAAGTCTTTTAAAAAAATCAGTTATTAATGTTTACAAGAAAATCTTATTTTCAGTTCTGTAATTTACAGTAGTGGCGCATTTATTAACATTTCACAACTGACATTAATGAAAAAAAATTGAATTAAAATGCAAATGTTTCTGAATTTTAATTAGCAAAACTTTACTACCATTGTGCACTGCATGATAAGGAAGTTGGCCGTAAGTGTAGATGATTCTGGTCTTTTGTGGAGGTAGTTACCCTACAGAGTTGCTTTAGAGAAGACATTTTGTTTTCGCTATCAAATTTGCATGATACGTTAATGTGCAGTAATTAACTAGTACGTCTGAGAATATAAATTAAGGTATTTTTAAATATCGCCACATCTTCATTAAAGACCACCTAACATAAATATCTTTTCAGAAGGTCTAAAATCTTCTGTTAGCGGTTGTCTTAGAGAGGGCTAGTCGAACATAAAGTAATATTAAATTAGCAAAAAAGGTTTCACAAATTTCTGAGCCTCTAAGATGCAGAAAATGCATATTTATAAGTTTTTAATTTGATGTATTTTAACAACTTCATTTTTTTATCACGATAAAATTTTAAAATGCAGAAATTTTGTTATCACCTTATTTTCTACGATGATGTTTCACACTAGGATGTTTTAGAACTGAAAAGTTCTCCATTTTCTTTTCTGTGAAAAAGTTTTAGAAAATATATTTTCATCTTGCGTTGATGTCTACGCGAAATGTTTCCCACCGTGTTTTAACTTTACTTATTTTTCAATCTTAAGGGTCTACAGATTATAAGGTTTTTCTGGAAACAAAACCTGAGAAAATTCAGCTCCGCTTTTGTGATGATTCGAACCCAGATATTCAAATTGTTAACTACTTATACCCCAGTAGTAGGCAAGGGGGGATGTGATAATTCCTTTCATTATTTTTCACTTAAAAGGCGTCTTGAGAGAGACATTAGCCCCAGTTTATCACATTTTACTTCGCTAAAGAGATTATTCTTCGAACTAAGAAACGAGAAAATCAACTGTTGTGTCACAGGATTCAAGCCACTGATATTCTCTTAATTGGATGTACTAATCACTCACAGGACGAAAACACGCACAGGGAAGTGCAATAGGTTTTTTTTTACAAATCAATGACAAATTTCTAAATTAATTGCTAATTAATCGACCCAAAAATGTAGTCTATAAATATAATTCGTGCTGTTATTATATTTCTTCGAGTTACTGGTTCGTGGATAAAAGTAATCATTCCATATAAGAAAACAAAACTGGCATGACACTATTTTCAATAATAATACACGGCAAAAAGCTGTAAATAACTCAAGGAGAGCGCAGATATTAAGCAGATTATGAATCCGACAAATAAAAACCGGACAGTTTACAATTATGAATCGAACAAATAAAATTCTAACAGTTTTATTTTTATAATCAGTTACCACAGACTCCATTTTCCCTAGAAAGATTAGAAAATAGCGATTTTGGGCGCCATCCCATCTTGGGGTCGTCGGTAATGAAGCAGCAGATGAACTTAAAAAACTTTAGTTCCGACTTCTGCATTATAACAGGATAACCATTACCGGGATATATTATGAAGAAACAAGCATTCCACTTTTTGTGGAATGCTTGTTTTAGCTGTCCACACATGGTTTCTATTTATCTTCGGACATAATGCAAAAAAAATACGAAGCTTCAAGAAATCCGATGCTCTGCTGAAAAAATAGGATTACGCGGGAAAGTCCAAGTAACATTGAGGTAAAGGGCTATGTCGCTTAATTCGCAAGATATCGTTAGGATAGTTATGGTTTAGGCGACTAAATTTTTGTAGACAAATTTGGTGAAAAATTGGCAAATGTTTGGTAACCATTTGGCGACATTTGGGCCCGTTACATATATATCTGTAATTGCTAATGTAATTGAATAATTGTAGTTGATCCGTATACATAACTATAGCGGTACCCAGATGTAACTTTAACCGTATGTGCCTTTTAGTAAATTCGAAAAATGGAAAGTACTGGAAATTTCCCGGCGGCTGGGGGAAAAATATATAAAACCGAAGAGAGCATCAGTTTTCAGTTTTTCAGTTTAGAGTATAGACTTCGAATTATTGAGACGTCTCCATGCGAGCTTAGATCTTTAGATGTACTTCGCATTCCGTTGTGTCTAAAGTTTTTACTAGTTTGAACTGTAACTACTGATCATGCTGCGTGATACTGAGAAGAGCTGTACGAGTACTTTTCTTCCGTAAAAATTCTGGAAATAAAAGATAGAGTAAATTATAAATAATGTAAATAAAGTAAATTATATAAAGTGTGAAAGATAAAGTAATCCTTTTGATAAAGTAAATTATATCAAGCTATCATCGACTTTGTGAACATTCAATACATAGTGAACCCGTACACACGTAACAGTACTTATATGCTGCGTGTAATATTCGGTCTACCGGAAAGTTATGTCCGTTTCATGACCACAATTTTCGACACGTAAGCACATGTTTATTTGCCGTATGTTCGGCTCTCTATTTTTATCACTTAATGTATACAAACTGAAGTAGCAAGTTAACTAAAACAAAGTTGATTCACGTTAGTCTTAAGTGTGAAGCGAGAGTGTACCCATAGCCATTGATAAAGTTCATTTACGACACTGTATTTTATACGAATTTCAACAAGGGAGAAATGCTACAGAAGCATGCAGAAATTTATTGAAAGTGTTTGGGGAAGATACAGTTTCTGATAAAACATCCAGAAGGTGGTTCGAAAAATTTGAAACAGGTGATTCCGAACTTTCTGATAAGCCACGTTCTGGGCGATCATCTTTGATCGCCGACGGTGTTGTTAGGACCATATTGGAGCAGGATCCTTTTGTGACAGCATCGGAGATCGCAGAAAGGCTTAATTCAGCTCAGCAAACCATTTTGAACCCTATTCTGAAGATGGGATTGGTGTGAAAATACTCAAGATGGGTGCCACATGAATTAAGCCAGAAGAATTTGGATGACCGAGTCGTCATATGCATATCTCTGCTTCATCCGAAAAAGATAAAGCCCTTCTTGAACCGGATGATAACTGGGAATGAAAAATGGATCACCCACGGAAACATTGTAAGGGAAAGGGCATATTGTGAACCCAGAAAACCTAGCACTCCTACCTCTAAACCAAATTTGACCCTGAATAAGGAAAATGTTGTGTATATGGTGGGGCATTGGAGGACCAGTCATTATGAGCTTTTGAAACCGAACAAAAAACTCAGTTCGGAGAAGTACTGTCAGCAATTAGATAATTTAAAGACAACAGTCCAAGAAAAGAGGCCGGTGATTTTCAACAGGAAGGATATCGTACTGCATCATGATCATGTCAGGCCACATGCTGACTTGGAGACTCATAAAAGAATTGCAGAACTAGGCTGGGAAATTCTGTTACATACACCATATTTTCCGGACTTAGCACCCTATGACTATCACTTGTTTTTCCTTACAAAATTTTTTGAAGAGGCAAAAAATTCAAAACTGAAGTAGATATCAAAAAACACCGGCTCAA